GAAACGTTGGTTAACATCGACCAGACTACACAGCGCAACAACCCAGAAGACAGAAATCTTCATACCCACCGCTGTGAAACCCCCAAATCTTACGTGTTATTGAGTTGCTTGCATAATTATAGAGATGGTGGCGGTGGTGATTTGATTGTATGATACATAGTATTTTCGTATTCTAAACTCTTGCAAATCGAGTGAAAACAGACAGATATTATCATAAAAACAAAATATCTATTTTCCCAGAAGAAAGTGCATTGAAAGAATTAGGCCTATCTGCGTAAATTAGAACGAAAAAGAAAATTTGTATCTCAGCGTTAAGTTTCTAAATATCTGCTGCACGAGCCATCTACAGGGCTCAGTAGAATGTAGCTTCTGCGTAACTTCCTTACAGACAGGATGGAGCCATCTGGTATCAGAAACGTGGAATATTACGAAAGCTGACAGAGGTTACACGTGCTTGCCACTGTACTTAGACTAACAATAAAATATGTTCATTAGCCCAAAAATCAGTTCGCGTCTTCATGGCTCATTAATTCCATCCTCAAACATAGAATCCAAACTCGAGAACTACTGGAATTCAACTAAGAAAATCGAACACGGGCGATCGTCGAAAACGGTTAGACTCGTGGTCTTACATTGTATGAACTGAACATTAGGTTGCATCTTATATAAACAGAGTGTGATTGGATTGATCTGGCTGAAAATTGGTTTATTTGGCCGGGTTTTCGTGAACATGGGGAAATTTCTTGTTAGTTTATGAAGAAGGTCTGTGATCAGTTGAGTTAGTCTGTTAATCTCTGAAACCGTCGCAGTTTAACAAAAAAATTAGCACTTGGCGGAAGGCAATTGTTTTCTGAAACGATCATATCCTGAAATCCGCTAGAACTGGCATTGCTTATTAGAACGACAGGAGATACTTAGTTATTAATTCTTATTTACGAAGGTTGCTTGAGGGAGTTTCGTTTTTAATTTCCGGTGTCACTGGTTAGTGTAGTCGTTAAGATAGTAATTTACTTTCCCCACACATAAGGCCTATGAGTCATCTCCCCACATTAACACATTCAGGTTCCTTGCTTTCGTCTGAGTACCTGAGTTGTTCAACAGACCAGCTGCCTCGTAAGCAGAAACAGATATTTTGGAGAGCTTGACTGTTGCCTAAACCAGTGGTATTCAACCTTTTTTGTTCGCGTACCCCCAGATATAATTTCTCTTCAACATTGTACCCCCAAAGTTGTTGGTGTATAATTCAAGTTATACACAGTATATAATCTACATTTAAAATAAATTAAATAAATTACATTACTGATTATTCAGTGTTTATCATAAAATAATATATATTTGTTTAAATTTCACGTCCCCCCTAAGATGTCTTCGCGTACCCCCAGATATAATTTCTCTTCAACATTGTACCCCCAAAGTTGTTGGTGTATAATTCAAGTTATACACAGTATATAATCTACATTTAAAATAAATTAAATAAATTACATTACTGATTATTCAGTGTTTATCATAAAATAATATATATTTGTTTAAATTTCACGTCCCCCCTAAGATGTCTTCGCGTACCCCCAGATATAATTTCTCTTCAACATTGTACCCCCAAAGTTGTTGGTGTATAATTCAAGTTATACACAGTATATAATCTACATTTAAAATAAATTAAATAAATTACATTACTGATTATTCAGTGTTTATCATAAAATAATATATATTTGTTTAAATTTCACGTCCCCCCTAAGATGTCTTCGCGTACCCCAGGTTGAATACCACTGGCCTAAACGACGCTGTATCAAGTACATTAGTTGTATTACATCGAATTAGATAGGAAGATGATTATGAATAGTTAGTCGCTATGAAAGGACGAGTTGTGGTCTGTCACGATAGTTGGCTGTAGCCTGAGGAAAGTCATGAAAGCGATCATTCAGGATTCCTGGTAACCTAGACAAGATTCGAACCTGGCACGTTCAGAATGTGAGTCTGGAGTGTTACTGCTGCACCGCGTTATTCGGTGAGTGTTTGATGCTCAAATAAATTGATCACATAATTGTCGATGTTAATCTTTTGGGTTGTGACACCGTTCATGGAGGCAGTATGTTCCTCCGAAACATTTGTATCTACCTACAAGACAACATGACAGTAAAAAAGAAATCGATATCTTGAGAGCTATGAGAACCCTCAAATTTCAGATTGTTAAATAAATTGTACAGGTTAATATTATAAAATTACAGGGGAATAGAACAAATAATTTGAGATGTTTTCTGTCTTGTAACTGTAATGGCGATTAATTCAAAATGAGATTATCGGATCACTGTTGGAAGAAAAATTACATATAATATTGCAATTTGTTATTTATTTGATAAGAAACCACCTAGAAAATGTGGGTAGGGATGTAGCTTTGTGTTGTAATGGACGTTAAACATATCCTTTAAGTCTAAAACTTCTTGACGATGGTGAAGAGTCAATTGAATAAAAATTTTCTTGGATATTATCCATCGTCTAGTAAATATAAAACGTAAAACGACATTTCGGAGATAGGGATTAGCTCTATCTAGTGGGCCCAACTGTGTAGGAACCTGAAGACGGAGATAGAGTCCCATCTCCGAAACGTCGTTTTACGTTTTATATTTACTATACGATGGATAATATCCAAGAAAATTTTTATTAAATATCCTTTAAAATTCCGTTATGACATGCAGTGTTGTTTAGGTGATTATTACCGTTTAAAAAGTACCAGTCAATTTCAGTGTTCGCGGTACAAGCGATCTATCACCTACGAAACGTTGGTAATCACCTGCAAGTCTGTTCTATTACCTTCGTTTTCACCAGCGTAAAATCTCAATTTTCATCTTAAGTTGCGTTACAATGAAGGTAGGTGTACTTATTTTGAAAATCTGGTGTAAGTTGAATTGGTGTGTTCTATACTTCTCCCAGTTTTGTCAAGTAGACGTGTAAGGCTGTCTTGAAGGTAATCGATGAGAAAATTGGATGAAGGTAAATTTCCTTTAAGTTTCTTTACATCTGTTGCGAAAGAAATCTTTGTCGTAACGTAGATGATAGTGCTTCTGACTGGAATAGTAAGGATGCTGTATTCATGAAATGGTAGAAGAAATGTGGATCACTTGGCTGTGATTGGGACCTCTGACCTTTGGTCAAAAATTGTATTTGTTAGTGACAATTTCAGGGTAAGGATAGACTTGAACTTTCTTATCACGTTCTTATGTGTCCGAAACGTTGTTGTATCGCCCTTTTTCTCCTTCCTACTCGCTAAAATAAATGCTGCTAAGTTGAGGGAGACAGGGCGTTATAAGTTGGGTGCTTGTTCCTTCGTACTTTGTTCGTAAATCACAGTGTCGAGAAGGCGGCTTAGTGGCAAAGCCTCATGTGGTACGCCAGCCAGAGGAGGCCATGACCAACTCTGCCTCAAAAGAAAACCCCTACTAAACATCAAAAAGTGCTTTTTCACTTTTTAAACAAAAAAATTCTCAACGATGGGTGTACGCTGTGGCTAGAAAGAATCGACGTTGTCTTTTGAATACAAAGCACCTGTTAGCAGAGACGTAGTAGCGGGGGATTACTGTGGTTCCTAGCTCGTGGAACCTCATCATGCGAACGCCAAGAGAGGTCCGATGCCATCCCCCCCTCCCCACTACATTCGAACCCTCTTCAGCGACCCAACGACCTACAACCCCACCATGTAATTTGAGGTTGATCCTTGCGGAAAATGGGGGTGGGGTCAGGAGCCCTTAAACCCCGGCCCGGAACAACAACGGCATGTAAACGAAGTTGCTGTATTTCCTCATTGGCCAAGTTAAGTGTTGGTGAAGTGGAGCTCCAGCGTGACTGGTATGCGTAAT